AGCAGGATGGTCTTGAAGCTCACTGCTGCTTGCTGCACCACCCCTCCACCTAAGCCCCTTGTTTTCTATTGTGGCTGTGAACTTTATAAGGTTTGCTAGTATAGTCCAGCCCAGGAGGTGGGAACTCAGATTGACTGATTGGGGTCTCTTAACTCTTCATTGTCTGACCTAAAGGTGTAAGCATAAGCCAATTCCTAGCTCCTGTGGCTGCTATCAGAGCTTTAACTCCAATAATTCGAACCCTTTCACTTCCACTTTGCCCTTTTCCTTGCTCAAGTGTTTTTCCCCCTAGCAATTATTGTAGAAAGATTTTCTTCTTTCTGATGCAAATGGCTTCTGTGGCATTCATTGGGAGGTAGGGGAGATGGTATGGAGTCCTCCTTCACAACCTAAATCAGAGTCTTGGAGGGTAGGGGGACCCTTGCATGTTCTTCCCAATGCAGAGGTGTGTGAGAGGGAAACGGCCTAATTTCCAACATTAGCAAGCAGCCAGAGTTTTTGACTACTTGTGACATGTCATGGTTGGTTCATGTGTGCGATTGTGCCAGGGAAGCGTCCACTGCTATCGTAGGATATTGTCTCTTTGACTTTTTTCCATTGCTGAATTGAAGAGCTCTCAACTAATTCATGAGTTGTCAGAATGGAATTTGCTATTTTGATTGATTTTGATTGATCAACACTACTATATCTCTATTGCCTTTGAGTGCATCTCCACTGCCACCTAAGTGTGTCCAGAAAGTGCTGAACATACGTCTTTATATGTTGCCTCTGTCTCATTATCAGCCTGCTGTTAGGGGAGCATGAAGATAACTGGAATGGAAGCAGTGCTTTCAAAGTTATGCTAGCCGAAGACCTTCCATATGGGCAGTCTTAGGAATATGGAAAAAGCTGCTTGGGATGATGTAGTCAGGGTTGATCTGCCAGGTTTACATTCGGACTTCCTCCTTTCATTTGGATACTGGGTTCTGTACCTGTGGTGCAGGGCTGCTTTGGCATGGACCAGAAACCAGGCTTCTAATAATTCTGTCAACTGAAATGATTGCTTCCTAAACTGAGAGACTATAACCCAAAGCATCTGACAGACAGACATTGCACAGACACGATTTCTATTTCTGAATATCATTTCCATGCATGTTGGATGGGAGATGGGCAGAGGACCTTCCTCTGATTCTCTATTATGAGGAAGATTGGAACCCAACTTCTGCAACTGCTGTAGTTGCTGTGATTTGAAGAATAGGTTGACTTGTCCACTTGCACACAGTTGGAAAACCCCATTCTCAAAATCCAGCTTGACAGATCAATAGAGTAATCATTTTGGGAAAATGTTATGGCATGTATTAAAGAACCACAGAGTTTAACACTTCTTTTACATATACCCAGTTCTTAGGAACATTATGCCAGCGGCATGCAACTGAGCAGCACAAATCAGGAGGATTGTAATGAAGAGACAACTCTTCATTATCAACTAGTGGTCATTAGACCAACAGATCAACAATCCTTTGGAAAAACGAACAGGAAAAAAAATGGATTGGGCAGAGTGCTGGGACCTTACAAAGACCTTGCCCCAGAATATATATCCTATACAATGATTAGGGAATGGTGACCTTCAGATTTTGGGCAGTGGGAAATCCAATCCCTGCCTATACAGCAGGGGTATCAAACTCAATTTCATTGAGGGCCGCATCAGCATCACGGTTGCCCTTGGGGGGCCAGGTGGGTGTGGCCAGAGTGGGTGCAGCCTACTGGGTGGGGGTGGATGGAGTGGGTGTGGCCTACTGGGTGGGCATGGCCAGTTCTACATCATTCGCGTCAAGGGTGCCTGTGGGGGCCTGGGCAGCAGTGGGGCAGATCTGAGGGTCTCTGGCAGAAGGGGGTGGGACTGGGGCAAGTGCCAAGGCATGGTCCACTGGGGCAAGTGCCAAGATGGCCACCACAAAATTGTACATTGGCTCCCGGCTGGCCTGGGCCAGGGCCAAGGCAGTGGGGGCCATTCCCTCACTGTTTCCAGGATGGCTTCGCGGGCCACATGAAACGACTTCGCGGGCCGCATCCGGCCCCTGGGCCTTGTGTTTGACATGTCTGCTATACAGCATTATGTAGTACAGATGTATAGTCAGCAACATGGGAAGGTCCCATTGTGGATGCACAGTAAGGGTGCATTCTGGGGCAGCAAGATTTAAGGTGACAAGATTTCCTCAAGGTTCCAGAAGAGAAGGAAAGCACTACAGAAACGGATGCATGGAGATGTTCGAGTCAGTTCTCTGCTGCACCAGATTTACTTCCAACATCATACCTCCCATAACAGCCTGATAGAGAACTAGTTTCGTGTACGGTTAAATGGTTAGAGAAACCAAGGAGACCACTGTGAATTCTAGTTCTGACTTAGGCATGAAAGCTGGCTGGGTAGCTTTGGGCCAGTCACTCTCTCTCAGCCCAATTCACCTCAAAGGGCTGTTGTCGTGGGGAAAATAGGAGAAGGAACGAGTATTAAGAATCTTGGCCACCTTATTTATAAAACTAATAGAGGTGGAATATCTAATAAGTAAATAGTAGATTTTGCACACCTTGTGACTGTTCTTGGATAAATAGGGAGCAGGAGGAGAGAAATGCATTAAGAAAGTGTTAAGGCTATCATAGGCTGGGGATAAGGTAAGGGAAGCATCTTAGAAACTCAGTAGAAAAATAATTGTTGTTAGGAACAAGTTTGTCCTAGAGTTAGGTGTGAGTAGGAAAAGACCCTATGTTTCTTAAGACTCTTAATGATATTAAGAGTCTTTCTGACTAGGACTGGAAACTGAAGGCATGTCAGATGTTTTATGATTTTATATTTTCTGTGTTTTTTCTCCTAGATTCAGCATCCCATAGGATACAGTGAGGTAAGAGCTGTTCCACTACTTCCAGCCTAGTTTGAGCACAGAACCATCAACATGTCACTAGCAGGTTAAAAACATACCAATATATTGCTTTGTTTTGAAGCACCGAACCAAATAATTTCTCTTTATATCGTTGGACATTTTTCTCCTAGAAGATAAAAGTGGGCAGTCCTATCATGATCATTGCATAAAATCAGATTAGATTCTGAATGTTTTTGCTTCTGATATTTTTCCTAGAGTTAGGTACAGGTTTGAAAAGCCCCTCTGTTTGACAAGTAGGGCCCTTGCGCTTCAAAAGAGGCCTCTCTGGAATATTTGTCACCGTAGCATTTTGAAGCAGCTATTTAATCAGAACTGTTCAACAGACTCTAATTCTCTTTCTGCTCTAGGGGATTTATCCGCCTGCTCTGGGATTGGGCAAGTGGAGGAAAAACTGCCAAGTCGGAAAGAAGCAAGGACAATGGAATATGCTGGGCTCAGCATTTGACCAGGGCCAGCCTGTTTGAAGGACACAGGAGAGGAGAATCAGCATATGCACGCTCAATCACAGTCTCGTATTTTATTGCACATCAGGTCCAGGGGTGGGTGTGAGTGCACTGGCTTAGGCCTCTTGTCAAACTCCATCCATGTGGCAAAGAGAAACACGCTGCTTTTCCCAAAATGTTTGCTCATGAGGGTTCTCAGGCTTCCAGAATCTATTCTGGCATTTACTAGAATTCTGGTTCTGCTAAGTAGAATTTTGGAAGAAAAAAGTTCACTTAACACTCGGAAGGGAAGAATTTGGAACCTAGAAACTGGTCTTGAATGCTGAGTATCAGCAATCTAATTTAGGAGTTGTTGTTGTTAGTTGCGAAGTCGTGTCCGACCCATCGCGACCCCATGGACAACTTTCCTTCAAGCCTTCCTGTCCCCTACCATCTTCTGGAGTCCATTTAAGCTCCCGCCTACTGCTTCAGTGACTCCATCCAGCCGCCTCACTCTCTGTTGTCCCCTTCTTCTATTGCCCTCAATCTTTCCCAGCATTAGGCTCTTCTCCAGTGAGTCCTTCCTTCTCATTAGGTGGTCAAAGTACTTGAGTTTCAACTTCAGGATCTGGCCTTCTAAAGAGCAGTCAGGGTTGATCTCCTCTAGGACTGGAGTAAAGGAGTAATATTGTGGCTGGTTGTCAACCAATCGGAAATTAGAAATTCTTGACAATCTACTTTTGATTGCCCATAGATATACCAGTACACAGTATAGTACCATACGGTGTTATAATACAAATGAGACACAAATGTGGGGAAGAGCTTTTGTCTAAGATCATGCAATAACATAACAAGTAGAGTTTGGAACAGATGGCAGGAGGCCTTGTTTCCAATCTATCTTGCAGATTATTATATCTGTCCTTAGAATCGAAACCGGAACAATCATTTTTTCTTAGTTCTTTTAGATCTATCTCACTAGATCAGCAAACATTTTGGGCCAAGGGCCCATCTGGAATTTCTAGAACATGTCACGAGTACCCCCATAAAACCTGTGCCATCACAGGAATGATCAAAGACAAAATACTCAACTACTGGACAGTAGGACTCTTGCTAGGCCTCCCCAAATCGGGAGACCCTGCCGCCATACCTTACTTATATCCCTTTTCTGGCAGGCAGACATATTTCCAAACAAAGCACTGGGCTCTTTAACCTGCAACCATTTTTAGTTTCTAAGAATGCTTCTGAGATCTATGTGGGGTTTACATTAGCTTTCCATTTACATGGGTTTTAAATTAGGTGTATCTAAAATCAGTCAGGTGGATATGGAGACTGATGGTGGCGAAGGAGGATTCACCAAGTATAATGAAGCTGATGACTATTATGCACTAGGTCTTATTTAAAAACTACGAGAATCTAGGAATCCAGGCTTCTATCCTTCCTTGAATTACTCTATTTGACTCTATTTTTGTTGTAAACTGCGAACAGAATCAGAATTCTGGTAGGGTCATGATGGCAGCACTGTGCTTTAAGAGCACCAATCTCAAAAAACACATAATGCCAGTACAAATATAAATACACAGGAAGCTGCTTAAGATGGAAGGAAGCTGGAAGCCGAACAGAGGCTTTACAAGAAGACGAAGAGATGGGGAATTGCTGTAGCTTCCTACTCAGTGCCATGTTCTTCCTTGTCAGGTGATTTAGCCTGAGCAGCAGCTGAGAGTGAAGACCGAGACATGCTGGCAGCCTCCACAATCTCAATGTCACGACACGTCAGGCAGGCAACAAGCTTTTCCCGTGAAGCACTGTCAGCAAAGAAGAATTCATAAGATACTCCAGCCAAAATGGCACCCAGAATAGGGCCGAGCCAATACACCTGGAAAGTGGGAATGAAAGATCGGGTGAGAGAGAGTCATGATGTGGTTTCTGAAGCAGTATATATCAGCCCTTGGAAGGGTTGGGAGAGATTACATAAGATCCAACAGATTGGCAAGAATGTGGTTGTAAAGTATCCTAGCAAGGCTCAAGCAACATGCTGGTAAGCCTAAGGGAAGACTAGTAGAGAGAGAGAGAGAGAGAGAAAGAAGCAGGAAAACCCATATTGGAGGGGGGGAAATACCTAATCCTGGCTGAAATTAGTAAAGATGGGAGTGTACGGTCAACTTAAATACTATTTTAAAAGTTCTGCATACTTTGTAGTCAACATCTTGGCTGCAGAAAATTCAACATAGCAGCAGATAAATATTAAAATGTTCCAAGTTACAGATTAAAATGCTGAATATAATCTTCCATTCAAGGTCGTCCTAAATCGGAACTTCCAGAAAGTTATTTGACAGGAAGCAGGGGAGTTTCTCTTGAGTAGGCAATCCAGAGACAGATACCAAAATTGGCCCCCTTCCTCCACGGCATCCAAGAAATGGAAAATCTCAAGCTCTTCCTCTCCATAGGAATAAGCTATTCCTCTCCACTGCAGTAACTACTCACCCAGTGATGTTCCCAGAATCCTGTGATGACAGCTGGGCCCAAAGATCGGGCTGGATTCATACTGCCTCCAGAGAAGGTACCCTAGGAAATATAAGTTTGAGACAAGCTGCAATGGTGTTTCAATTCCTCCCTTGGCAGATTGTTCTATGAAAGTTTTCCCTGTTGACTATTTTTTAACAAAGGGGGTCTTCCTTCTAGCTGTTGCTGGTGCGTTGGCTGAACTTCAGGACTATTTACTGTCCCTGAAATTCTTGGATGGAACCAGCTTGGGGTAGTAGTGAAAGTGCTAGCCTAGGTACCGGAAATTACAAGTTCTAATTCCACCTTTGACATGAAAGCCAGCTGGGTGACTTTAGGTCAGTCGCTCTCTCTCAGGCCAACTCACCTCATAGGATTGGTGTGGAAAAAATAGGAGGTAAGAATATTTGGTATGTTCTCCGCCTTGTTATATGCAAGAAAGGTGGAATAAAATAACAAGAACAACAAAACCAATATTCCGGAAAGAGTCCAGTAAAGAGGATGACCTTACCAGAGAGAGAGAAGAACCATTACCTAGACTACAAGGAGGCCAAAGCGAGAGCTACAGTATTTCTTGATCTACTCTACCTTCTAGGGCTGACACTATATTACACGTTGTAATTTTTAATAGGAGGAAGGAATTTATTAAATACGCAGGCAGTAATCGTATTAACTTAATGGCATTTTTCAATGAACCTGTAATTGAATTTAAACAAGTTTAGGTTTTGTCCTGGGGAAACGCATTTCTTTGCTTATGCCAATTGTATTTGGAAACCTCACCCCAGGACCAGGCGTGGCATACACATAGAGAGATATAAAATTCTCAAGATTTGATCTATTGTATGCAGTTATTTTTATTCAATGTGTGAGAGTCAGTCTGTTGAAATTCTGAAGCATTTTTAAGGTATTGATGTCAGGCTCTGCCCAAGAACAACATAGAGCAATCCAGCCACAGTTCAGTATACAGAATCTTGCCAGAGTAACCCTTATTACTCTTACCCTGATGGAGATACCCTAGGACAGGGGTAGGCAACCTTGGCTCTTTTATGACTATGCTGGCTCAGGAATTCTGGGAGTTGGAAGTCCACGAGTCATAAAAGAGCCAAGGTTGTCTACCCCTGCCCTAGGATATTCCAGGGAATGGCTGTCCTGTCTCTCTTCCTCTGTCTCCTATCCAGCTCTGTGCTGTGCTGCCTTTTGTCTTGCCCCAATCCTTGGAATATTCTTCCTCCTTCCTGGGAAGCTGCCACTTCACTGTAACTCATCATACCAGTTGCCCCCTTGCAGGGGCCCTTCCTCACAATTCATTATTTATTTCAGTTTTGGGTGAGGCTGTTAGCTCCAAAACCTTCCTTCTGCTTTTTCCTACCATAGCAATTCTGTCGGGTAAGTTAGGTGGAGAGACTGAGAGAGAGAAAGAGACTTGTTTAAAGTGACCCTAGGACAGTGGTTCTCAACCTTTTTAATGCCGCGACCCCAACCGGTCGTAAGTCGAGGACCAAACCGGTCGTAAGTCGAGGACTACCCAACTGGTCGTAAGTCGAGGACTTTCCCTGCCCGGGAGCGCCGCACATGCGTGGTTCCGCCCCCTGCGCTGGCCGAGGCGTAGCTGGCAAGCGGCAGAGACGGAGCAGGCCGACCACCAGCTGGCCCAGCCCAAGGGAGGTAAGGCACCCGCCGGAAAAGGGGGAAAAATGGCAGACAAAAAAAATGGCGGACAGCCTTGCTTGGCGACCCCCATGAAATGGTCGATTGACCCCAAATGGGGTCCCGACCCACAGGTTGAGAACCACTGCCCTAAGAGCTTCATGGCCAAAGTGGACCAGAATTGGAATTTTCCTGGTTCTAGCCTGTAATGGTCTGTGGGAATGACCTTGGGAAACAGGACAGTCTGGATAACTATCATGTAACAGATTTTTTATTTTATTTTTAAAGGAAAGGGGGTTGCTTTTAGTCTTGTGAGATTCTGTTAATGTAACCTGACAATAAAGATAGAGCTAGTACTTCTGCTTACACTTCTTGTCTGGACTATCTCACCAGGCTAACAAAGCCTAACACTGTGGGAGATGAACTTTTTTTTTTATTACAGCTAAAGGCCAGCCACTTAAGACAGCTTCCTAAAATATCCAGATAATAAAGCAGCACGCAGTATAACACATAGGAATGTAAAAAGCAACAGGAAATTATATGCTACAGTTGCTGAGAGAGATGGATTACAGTTTTGCCGCTGACTGTTCATTATCCGTAGCTGCGCAAAGCTGCTGTGCAAAAGTTTACAACCATAGAAGTAGCAGGAGGCTGCCTGTCCCTGGGTAGTTTAATGGGCGAAATAGGTTTACTGTTTAGATCTCTATAAAATTTATAATATAGCAAGACGGTGCTCAACTGGTTTGACCAGCCATGAAGGGCAGATGTGCTCCTGGTAGGGTTTTCCATTAAAGCTGTCTTCCAGCTGTGCAGATGAAAGTGAGTTAAATTAAGCTTGAGAAAAAAGCTCTGTGATAGGCATTTTCAAGGTGGCAAGATACTTGGTAGGCTGCAGGTTTCAGATTCAGAATACTAAAACTCTCAACAACCTAACACCAACAGAAGTAGGTTTGACTCATTTTTGTCACTTGCCTTCCAGGACTTTCTGTTTAAGAATCATTCTAGTTTCGTTACTGTCCATGGACAGCAAAAAAAAACTGTGGATAAAAGCTGTAATTGCACTTTTTACAATAGGATCCACTTACAGAGGATGAGCTCCACTGAACAAAAATCCTTTAGACCAGGGGTGTCAAACTTAATTTCATTGAGGGCATCAGCACTGCGGTTGCCCTCAGGGGGCCAGGTGGGTGTGGCCAGGGTGGGTGCGGCCTACTGGGTGGGCGTGGATGGAGTGGGTGTGGCCTACTGGGTGGCCGTGGCCAGCTCTACATCATTTGTGTCAAGGGTGCCTGGGCAGGAGTGGGACAGATCTGAGGGTCTCTGGCAGAAGGGGATGGGACCAGGGCAAGTGCCGAGGCATAGTCCACTGGAGGAGCCTCACTGTTCCTCTCAGGCCATGCAGGGGGGGGGGCTTATGGAGCTAAAACTGAATGCGTTTCAGCATAGATGGCCACCACAAAATTGTACATTGGCTCCCGGCTGGCCTGGGCCAGGGCCAGGGCCAAGGCAGAGGGGGCCATTCCCTCACTGTTTCCAGGATGGCTTCGCGGGCCACATGAAACCACTTAGCGGGCTGCATCCGGCCCCCGGGCCTTGTGTTTGACATGTCTGCTTTAGACCATGATTAAAGATCACCAGCCGAACACAAGTATCTAACTTAATTAATCTTAATTAAAATCAACCTTAATTAAAATTTGCTACTTGTAACATATTTGGGGGGACTGAAACTCTGGTGTCAGGAAATTGGGTGCACTTTGGAGCACTTATTTGTCTGGGCTGTTACCGCAGCTAGAGCTCCTGCTATCACTGAGAAACCAATAGCCAAGGTCCCAGCAGGCTCCCCTCGTTCATGCCTCCGGTGATCTTCTACAGCGAAAATGGTGAGAGCTAGCTGGAAAGTGGAAAACAGCTCCATCCCCAGAGCCTGTCCTGCATTCCCCTCAGTGTTGACCTAAAATGAAGAAGGGAAGGAAGGAAGGGTTCAGAGTGAGAGCAGAGATCTTCTGCAAGTCATCCAAGGGCTTGCCATATTAACTAGCGTTAAGTTTTTACTGTCCCACAAAATATTGTGCAGTCCAAATATTAACTGTTGAAACTATGCACAGGCTACTTGGATGCAAGACTACTTGGGGTATACATCCTAGAAGTTAATAATAATAATAATAATAATAATAATAATAATAATAATAATAATAATAATAATAATAATAATAATAATAATAATAATAATAATAATAATAGTAGTAGTAGTAGTAATCGATATAAATAAAAATGTAAATGTTCATTTGTTCAAAATCTTAAATCTCTGAAAGCTCTTCACCGATTGCTTTAAAATTTTGACACAACGTTGCATTCGAATACGCGCGTGTTTTTATATACCTATATTATATAGATGTCACAAATATGAGCCAGCAGTGTGCTGCAGCTGCCAAAAAAGCCAACACAGTGCTAGGCTGCATTAACAGAGGGATAGAATCATGATCACGTGAAGTGTTAATGCCACTTTACAATGCCTTAGTAAGGCCACACTTGGAATACTGCATCCAGTTTTGGTCACCGCGATGTAAAAAAGATGTTGAGACTCTAGAAAGGGTACAGAGAAGAGCAACAAAGATGCTTAGGGGACTGGAGGCTAAAACATATAAGGAACGGTTGCTGGAATTGGGTATGTCTAGTTTAACGAAGAGAAGGACGAGGGGGATCATGATAGCAGTGTTCCAATATCTCAGGGGCTGCCACAAAGAAGAGGGAGTCAAGCTATTCTCAGGAGAAATTTCCTGACAGTTAGAACAATTAACCAGTGGAACAACCTGCCTCCAGAAGCGGTGAATGCTCCAACACTGGAAGTTTTTAAGAAGAGACTGGACAGCCATTTGTCCGAAATGGTATAGGGTTTCCTGCCTGAGCAGGAGGTTGGACTAGATGACCTCTGAGGTCCCTTCCAACTTTATCATTATTATTATTATTATTATAAAAACAGCGCCATCTGTTGGATGTAAAAGCAACACACGCTTTTACCAGACTGAGCCACAGCAACGCGTGGCTGGGTACAGCTAGTAGCAGTAGTAGTAGTAGTAGTAGTAGTAGTAGTAGTAGTAGTAGTAGTAGTAGTAGTAATAATAATAATAATAATAATAATAATAATAATAATAATAATAATAATAATAATAATAATAAAGTTTGAAAGGGACCTTGGAGGTCATCTAGTCCAACCTCCTTCTCAGGCAGGAAACCCTATACCATTTTGGACAAATGGCTGTCCAGTCTCTTCTTAAAAACTTCCAGTGTTGGAGCATTCACAGCCTCTGGAGGCAGGTTGTTCCACTGATTAATTGTTCTAACTTCAGGAAGTTTCTCCTTAGTTCTAGGTTGCTTCTCTCCTTGATTAGTTTCCATCCGTTGCTTCTTGTCCTGCCTTCAGGTGCTTTGGAGAATAGCTTGACTCCCTCTTCTTTGTGGCAGCCCCTGAGATATTGGAACACTGCTATCATGTCCCCCCTTGTCCTTCTCTTCATTAAACTAGACATATAAGCTATTTTCATATTGTTGTTAAGAAATCTATGAAGTCAGCAGAAATCAGGGACAGTTTACTTGTATGATTTCAAAACAGTTAATCTATAATATTTTTAGACAGCTTATATTAAAGTGACCATATGATTTTAAACATTTATTGTTTTTATTTATTTTTGTTATTAAAATAATAAAAATAGACTTTAAATGACAACCAAAACTTGATATGACAAAGATTTAATTAAACTCATGCAAATATGTTTGTTCCTTGTTTTGTCATTGTAACAGGACAGCTAACTATTTATTCTTTGCTATGCTTGAAAACACCCAATGCCCATCTTATATTAAGACTAAAACGTAACTTTTATACATTGTGCATATTCGTAGGAAATAAGGTATACTGGGCAAGGCAGAGGGAGTATTTCTGTCAGACTTTTGCGCAGCAAGCTAGACTGGAGCCACTGAAAGGTAAGAAGGTAAAGGAGTCCCTACAGATTTTACTCTGCTAGTTGTTGCCAACTATAAGGGGTGGTGCTCATCTCTTTCGAAGCCATTGAGCCAACGCTGTCCAAAGACATTCTGCAGTCAACCTGCCAGCATGATATCACAAAGTGCTGTTACCTTCCCATCAAAGTGGTACCTATTTATGTATTCATATTTGCATGCTTTCGAACTGCTAGGTTGGTAGGAGCTGGAGCAAGGATGGGAGCTCACCCCGTCACGTGGTGCTCAGGTCTTGAACCTGGGCTGCCAGCTTTTACAACTGACAAACTCAGTGTCTTAACCGCTGAGCCACTAAACCCACAAAAATACTGATGCTTATTTTAATTACAAAAAAGCAAAGCAGCTACAATATTTCAAACAACTTCCAGTGACTGTTGTGTATCACCCGAGATTGTTTTACATGTATGAATGTCAAAGCCATGGTCCTGGATGAAACCCAGAGCATCCAGGAATACATCAATAAGATGGCAGCCAAAGATGAGCTGCTAAGAGAATGCCTGAGACAGCAGAATACATGGAGGAAGACCAGTAGCAGCACATATAGGAGGAAGATCAACCAGAGGCAATGCAATGGCAGAACAAGGTGGTACATAAGATGTACCACTGACAAAGAGCTGAGGTGGCAGATATTGGGAAATTCTATCAGTGGCTGGACTAAAAGACAACATTGAGGCACTGACTGTAGTAGCAAAAAAACAGACACTAGGCATCAAATCCATAGAAGCACAAGCCTACTACACTAAACAAGACCTGAGATGCAGACTCTTCAGAGGTTTCAGAGACAGTCCAACACATAATGGCAGGGTATAGGTGTTCTGTTTTTGGGAAAGAGGCACTGAGACGAAGCAACGAGTTCCAAACAGTCCTTCTTTATTGCAACACCAACAGAACAGGATTACACAATGGTGCGGTTCCCTTTTATAGTCTCCTGCACAGTACCTTGCTGGCCAATCGTTGCAAGGGATTTTCCCGCCTTGTGCATGCGCGCAAGGCTGGGAACAGCCTTTCTGGTCCCGGGCATCCACGTGGTCTGCCCCGGCCAATCACTGCAGCCTGCGCCTGCAGGCCCAGGACATAACAATAGGTGCAGGCAGGAATAGCATACATTGAAAGATATAACCAAGTAGCTGGCAATTGTATACAGGAGCATCTGCACAGTGTATGGGCTAGACTCTCACAAGTCCAGATGAAAGATTCCACAGAAGGTCATGGAGAATAACAGGGCTAAGATCCTATGGGACTTCCAGATCCTGACAAACAGGCAGGTACTGGCCAATCAACCAAAAATTGTGGTAGTTGACAAAGAACAGAAGATGGTGGTGGTGATGGATGTAATGGTGCCAAGAGAGAGCACCAACAGGAAGAAGGAGATGAGAAGCTGGAGAAGTACCAGGACCGAAAGGCGGCTCTGGAGAGGATGTGGAAAGTAAAGGCCAAAGTGGTCCCAGTGGTGATAGGAGCACTTGGGGCTGTGACTTGTAAGTTGGAAGAGTGACTCCAACAGAGTCACTCTTCAGGGGGTTGGACTAGATGACCTCCAAGGTCCCTTCCAACATTATCATTATCATTATTATTTCCCAAGAATAACATCAGAACTCTCTGTCCAGAACAGTGCAGTGCCAGGAACAGCTTCCTTGAGTTATATAAATAAAGATTGGATAAAAATCTAAAATTAAATAAATACATTTCCACCCTTTGCTACAGCCAATTACTTTGCACTTTGATGCAATAGGAGAAGCACAAGAAGGCAATGGGTTGTCGAAAGTTTATACTATGACCATCCCAGCAGGTGAGAATGAGGTTAGGAAGCAGCAGAGAGTAGAACAATTGACAAATGTTATGTGTAGCTAGCAAAATCAGGCTTCCCAAGCTTAGAAGTTAGATTTTCTACAGATCAAAGAACATCTGGTAGCTGGTGGGTAGCAGTTAAAGTGGTGAATTTGAATCTGTGAACCACAAATTCAAGTCCATCCTCAGCTGTAAAGATGTGCTGAATGATTGGGATCAGTTACTCTCTTACATCACCCTATTTTATAAGGTTGTAGTTGAGGGAATAGAGGAAAGAGAGATCCCACTGTAAAGAAATAAATCTAATAAACAACTGACAAGAGTAGCATGCTTTGACTCAATGAAGGAAGGTGACTTCTTCAGCTTCGTTTTCCTTTAGCCAGTGATAGCAATATTGAACAGGGTTACTTAGTAGAGAACAACCACTGTGGGCTCCTGGCATAGAGCACTGGAACACGTAATAAGTTTCATTTTTGATTCTTGATATTAGTAGGCAATGTTAATGTTCATCTCCAGGGATGTCTTATAGCAGGGGTCCCCAACCCCCGGGCCATAGCCCATTGGGAACCGGGCCACGCAAGCGGTGGGTGAGTGTGCAAAGCTCCATTTCTGCAAGTGGTGTGCATGTGTGCAAAACTATCCCCTCTTCTCCCCACCACTGCCGCCGCCACCACTGCCAGTCCGCAGAGCCAGAAAGGTTGGGGACCGCTGTCTTACAGAAAGGGAGATCATCAGAAAGAGAAAGAAAGAGATGTAGCTAGCTTACCTTTGTGACCAATTGCCCAATGGCTGAGCTGGGCAACATGAGATAAAAAAAGCCTGATGCTAAGATGGCACCCAGACACTGGGCTAGAATATAGCTTGAGGCATGCAGAGCGTCCAGTTTACGAGTGCACAGGAAAGCCATAGTGAGTGCAGGGTTGACTTGGGCACCACTGATCTTACCAAAACAGTGTGCCAAACTGATAGCTACCAGTCCTGCAGCAAGGGCTGGCTGGAGCGAAGTAGGCAGCACATCTTTAGGACCTGCAGGGGATGAGGCACCCAGCACTATCCAGACAAAGATAAGGGTGCCTGTGGCTTCTGCCAATAGGCTACACCAGAACTGACGACGCTGCAGTTCCTGGAGAGGAAGAAACAAAGAAAAAAAATAGATACAAATTGACAAAAAAAGATATATAGGTTGTTGAGATATGCCACTAAAATAACCCATTTCAGCCAGAAATACAGTGAGATACATTGCTACCAATCAGAATCCCTATGGCCAAACGGATTCGAAGATATTTTTAAAGAAAAGATTGTGATTTCTGTCTCATAAGTGGATTTGTCCAGCAAAGTAGGTGCACTCTGGATCCTGTCCATTACAGAAAGACATCCTGGCAGGACCTCAGGAAATGCATCTATTCTGCATAATTTCTGCCCTCTGGAATGAGCTCTCTTCAGAGATTCATGAGGTTCCCACCCTTACGACATATGGGAAATCTCTAAGGACCTGGTTATTCTCCCAGACTTTGAAGACAGGATGAAAATGGGCTTTCTTTTTGTTTTCTTCTGTTTCAATGATCTGTTTTTGTTTTGCTTTGGTATCATGCTCTTCTGGTTGGTTGTATTTTTTATATATTGGTTTTATAGTTTCAAGCTGTCCAGAGTTGTTTGGGAGTTGGGCAGACTGTTAAATAAATGAATAATTAAACCCCCAATATAACAGAATAACAATCCAATGATCATTAGAAGGGACCTTGGAGATCTCCTAGTTCAATCTCCTGCTCAAGCATCAAGCATCATATCTAACATCAACAGAGGGATGTTATATTATTATCTGTCAATGGCATCTGCTCTCAATGGTCACCATCCCAATCTTTCAAAGGAAGCATTCTCTACAGCAGGGGTGTCAAACTGCCGGCCCGCGGGCCAGATGCGTCATGCCAAAACCGCACCCACCCCATTGCCGGCAATGAGAAAAAAGTCGCGATATGTCATGACACGTCATGTGACGTTGCGAGTTTGACATCCCTGCTCTACCGAAACTCTGACGGAGAATCAGAACATCCTCTTTCCTGTTCTAATTCTGTATATCACAAGCAAACCTTCTAAAAACCAACATTTCCCTAGCTTTGTGGCCAGAATCCAAGGATCATCCTTTTGAAGAAGTCAGTGATATTATTTGTTGTTGTTGTTAGTTGCGAAGTCGTGTCCGACCCATCGCGACCCCATGGACAACGTTCCTCCAGGCCTTCCTATTATAGAAAGCTGCAAAATCTTTAAAATGGTCAGATGCAACACCAAAGAGTAGAACCTCCAGAAGTAGTCTTCTCCAACATGGTCTCTTCCAAATACGTTGGAACTACTACTCCCAGAATTCCAACCAACAGGGAAAATATCTAAGCTATCTGGGAACTGAGGCACTAGATTGGGAAAATCTACCGTAAATCAGTGGCAGTTGGCCTAGGGCAGTGGTTTAGGAACTTGTCTCATTTCTGTTTAGATGCAGTCTTACTAGCTGTGCTCTAGCCATTGGCCCTGCTACACTATCAAATTAATACAGGGTTCGGCTTCATGTAATTTCCAATATGTAGCCTCACCTCTTGCTATCTTCCTTCAGTTGTTCCTACCCTCTGGTAGCAGATTTTTTTTTTATGGATCGGGAAAATCTTTTTTTTTTATTCTCCAACCAGATCTACAGTATGGGCCTCTCTGACATAGTTGGCACAGGTGGCATCCAGGCTTTTTCTTAAAACAATCTTCTTCAACTTGGATCCCACCTAATGTTTTGAGCTACAGCTCCCATCAATCTTGACCAATATGACCAATAGTCATCAATGGCTGGTCTCAGCCCAACTCACCTCACAGGATTGTTGTTGTGGGGAAACTAGAAGGAGGGAGGTGTGTTGGATATGTTTGCTGCCTTCTCTTGTTTGTAAAAATAATAAAGGCGGGATATCAATAAATAAAATAATAAAAAATAATGTAGTCTAAAATATCTTGAGGGCAATACGTTGAAGCTATTTTTCTGAACAATGAAGACAGATTCAATTTTCAATTCAACTAACTTTCAGTTCTAGAGATATCAGGAGAAGAATCTTCTAGCCCAGGGGTCCTCAACCTTGGCAACTTTAAGACTTGTGGACTTCAACTCCCAGAATTCCTCAGCCAGCTTTGCTGGCTGAGGAATTCTGGGAATTGAAGTCCACAAGTCTTAAAGTTGCCAAGGTTGAGGACCCCTGTTTAGCCCATTGGTTTGCCAATGATAGTCCAGAATCTAGCTAATCTATAATATAACCCAGCATAGGTCAAACCGGTATTATGGAAAGAAGGCAGGAAGAATTAGATTGTATAATTAAAGAATCTTTGTTTTCTAAAAAAAAAAGTCACCCTAGAGAACAAATTCCATACTTGATCTTGGAAAACATACCGGTATCTGCTATTATTTCTTTTAATATCTTTGAAATTGTCTCACCACATTAAAAAAAAACAGCAAAACAAAATGAAAATACACTTTTACTCTCTGAAATAGCTAGTATAGAAATATTCTGATTAATAAAACGGAAACATCCATTTTAAAAAATGTTTGACCACTTTTTAAAAAAATTCACTAGTTGAACTTGAATTTACATAGAAAATGAGTTTTTTTTCACCTTATTTAAAAGAGAAAAATTTCTACATTAATTCTAAATAATGGAAAAGTTTGTGCTTGAGGGTAGATGGGAAAAATACAGTACAGGAAAGAGGATAGAATCTCTTAGGAAGAAAAGAACCGACACTAGAAAGAATTCAGAAAAACAGCCAGTAAAGTAGATTTATGAGCAAATACATTTTTATAGAAAAAGCCAGATGGGCCAAAAATTAAAAGAGGTTTGTCCAATTTATTTGCTGAGAAATATTCAATCTGTCTATGTGGTTACTAGGAATTAAGGTAAACTTGATGGAGTCTTCACCATCACAGTATCTCAACATTTAAAGAGGGATCGCCTTACCTGCCTGATGCCCATGGTGTCCTTCTTCCAAGTCTGATCTGAGCAAAAGAAAGTGCATTGCTGCTGTCATCTAGTGGTTGACCAAATACTGTCCTCTTCCCACATTTATCTCCGTTCTCATCCTTTCGTGTGATCAGCTAAAATCTAAAAAGTGAAGCAAAAAAGAAAGTTTTCAAGCAGCCATCCAGCGATCAGAAAGACTTAATACTGGAGTTTCTGAGATAGCTCAAGATATTCAAACCACCTTTTTTTTTTCTTTAATCAGTATCAACTTAACGCTACGTCTTTGATGCAGCTCCACCAATCAATAACCTATAATTACCCTCAACTCTTCCCCTTCCAGCTTCTGGAGTAAAAGAGAGAAATCACTTGGGACAAAAATGTTAGAAATAATTAAAAAAAATAAAATAAAAAATAAAAAGCAAGCTACCTGGATGTGTGAGTAAGGAGTTTCTGGCACATCTCAATAGTAAGAATGTCAAGGCAATGGGCTCTTTGAACTTAATCAGGTGGTCATCTGAAGGGGGTTGTCACAGTTACCAGTGTTCCAGCATGGGATTTATTTTTGTATGATCAAAGGAGGCTGCAATCACATTTAAATGAATTTGCATGGAAAATGAGTGTTTTCACTTTAGTTAAAAGAGGAAAAATCCTACATCAATCAATTAAATAGGTTTCCTGCACATTCAAGAAGTTCCAATTGTTAACTTGCATCAGTGCTTGTTCCTGGCTGTCTTTTATGTAATCAGCCAATGCACGCCTTTCTTCTTTGACAGTTTCTTTGACTTGAAGTAAACCTTTGCCTCCATTTCTGGTGAAATCTATCAATATTGCTATGGGAATGGAGGAGGAGGAGGCTTGGGTGCGAACTGTAGGTGGCAACCAATGGTGTTCTATATTTCTGTTTTTCTGAGCTGTTCTTTAATAGATCCTCCTTGGGAATTGATCTGACTATTGATTGATCCCACTAGGTGGGTAGGTCAACGTCCTGAATATGGATTTAATCCCATTAATTGAGCATCTCTGTCTAGTGGGTCAGAACAAACATGATTGTTATATAGGGCCTAGGTATAGATGATAGATTTCATTGTATGTTAATCCCATGCTAGTCAAATCATTCTGTACATCTGATGAAGCGAACTGAAACGTATGCCTTGAAAAACTGGTTAATCTTAAAAGACACTACCAGACTTTTCTGATTCCTGTCTGAATCTATTTGGTATTCCTTTAGTTTCTATAGCATTTCTTGGGCTCCTGTCCCCTTCAAATAATCAATTTCTCAGAAATTGGACTAATAGTACTGTACTGCAGTATTGTACTGCTTTCTTTTAAAAACAAATAGCTCTTCTTCAATGGACTAGTGCAAAGTTAATGTCGTTTTAAGATCTCCTTTTGTTGATGGCTGTCACATGAATGGCAGTTCTCATATGTTTTCATATATGATTTTCCCCTTATTATATCACAAATCATAAGATACAACATCGAGTGTTGTTATGATGATTGTGATCATAATTTATCACTTGTTGCAAATATATACAGGTAGTCCTCGACTTCCAACAGTTTGCTTAGTGACCGTTCAAAGGTACAATGGCACTGAAAAAAGTTACTTTAAACTATTTTTTACACTTATGACCGTTGCAGCATCCCCATGGTCATGTGATTTACATCTGGATGCTTGAAAACTGACTCACATTTATGATAGTTGCAGTGTCCAAGGGCCATGTAATCACCTTTTGCAACCTTCTGACAAGTCAATGGGGAAACCAGATTCACTTAACTGTGTTACCAATAACTGCAGTGATTCACTTAACAAATGTGGCAAGAAAAGTCACAAAATGGGGCAAGACTCACTTAACAAATTTATCACGTAGCAATATAAATTTTGGACTCAATTGTGGTTGTAAGTTGAGGACTACAGTACCTGTACACTGAGAGCTTATGCACCAGAGACAAATTCCTTGTTTGTCCAATCACACTTGGGCAATAAAGAATTCTCTATTTTCTATTCTATTCTATTCTATTCTATTCTATTCTATTCTATTCTATTCTATTCTAATTCCAGGCCATTCTTAAAACTCATAACAAGCAGCTTCAATTTTCATGTGTGACAAATATTTTTTCCCATAGATCTATTACAAAGTGAAGTTGGAATTATGCATCTATCCACAGAATATAAGATCATCTTATATTTTATCATATTATCACTAACATATTTTTATGTTGAATTCTGTTGTAAACTCAAAATATATTTTTTGTTCCTATGGGC